GTATTAATATAACAATCTTAAAAGTGCAAATTATTTTTAAAGCTTCTTTGAACTAGAAATCATTTTAGTAAAGATTTTTTTCTAATGTATTATTTTACCTTTTTTTACCAGTTGCGGCTCTTAAACAACAAATATTCCTCTTTGGTTTCAGTTCTCTGTTCAGCCTCATCTGTGTAGTTTATTATGCAACATGCAACATTTCACTGATATAGTTGCCTGCTGAGTGAAAACTACATTACCCTTAATTATCATGCACCTCTYATCCACCATTGATTCATTATGAATGTGACCTGGGGGGTGGGGGGTGGTATTCAGCCCATGTCAGCAAAAGCTCATGTGACCGCCATCAGTGGCCCTGAAGACCAGATTTTCCCCATAGGTAAAGATTCTGTGTACCTTTTTTTTCTTTTTATGAAATTGGCAAGCTATGGATTCTGTTTTACAATAAATTTGTGGGTGCACAGCAGTTCAATGAAGTGTGTTTTCTTACCTTGTCTAATGGAGACATATCGGCCATTAGCTGCTGTCAGAACCACTTGTGGATGGCTTTCTTCCAAGTCAAACAGTTCATCTTTGCCTGGCTTGGAGCATCGTCCAGATCTCAGGGTGCCCGTTGGCCCCATGGGAGACAAATATCTCCCCTCGCAATCTTTAAAGGCGAGCTTCCCGCACTTCAGTTCTAGCGTGTACGCTGTGCCTTTCCCACTCTCTTTCACCAGCTTTCCATCGCTGCTGAGGAACCGGCTGTCACAAGTCTTAAGGCAGTACTTCCCATCCAGGTAGACGAGGGTCAGGAGGGCTTCCACACCCCAGGGTATGTTCACATCCACTGCGATTTCCCCGTCCTCCATGGCGAGGTGGGCATAGCGCTTACGGGCGACTGACAGAAGGTTGGCCTGAGGATGGAGCGCCAGGTGCACTGCCCACAGCTCGGCATCTGTGATTGTCTGAGCAAAGCAGGACAGGTAGTCCCGCGAGCCGCCAAAGAAGCGCAGGTATTGCTCAGACTGCAGGGCCCAGCGGCCGTCTGACTGAGCTACAATGAGGAATCGGCAGTCTGAGTTGTGGCCATCTGCCTCGCAAGTGACTTTGCCATCCTTGTCAGAAGCCAAGTAGCGTCCCAGGTGGCTGCGTAAATACACCACTTGGGAGTCCTGGGAGTCGTGCTCTAGAGTCCATATCTGCTTCTTTTTGAGGCTGGGAGCCGATGCATTCACCTGGGAAAGAGAAAAGGTGTTACTCTGATAATGTTTGCACATATGGAACATGCCTRGAAGACTCATACTCTGTTTAGGCTTTGTACTGTAGATGTGGTGCACCAACACAAAGTACTGCCTTGCATTGCTGTACCTTAAAACCAAAGGCCTCTGCAGTGAGGTAGCGACCCTCGTGGTTGATTAGACCAAACTGCAACTTCAAGGAGCTGTTTTCATTAGCAGGCATCTTCACCTGTGAAAATGTAGGAAGGAAACAAAAGAACAATAGATCCAAAAAGTTAGTGATGGAAAGAAGAAATAGAGATGAATAAAGGAGATAAGTTGGAGAAGTAAGAGAGGAAGAGAGGGTTTTAAAGCTGTGAGGAATAAGGAAAGAGTCATGGTGAATGATGAAATGCAAAAGCTGTAAAAGCAGGAAATCAATTCATTAAGGTGCAGTTTATAAAGCACTCCCCAAACCACAAATTCCTTCCCCCCACCCATGACTTCATTATACATTTTTCCAGCCACAGCCTCCTAATTTACTTACTGCGGTTTTGTGGCTTCCCCTCTGCAGTTCCTGCGGCTTTAATTCCAGCTCCCAGATTTAAGAGGCTCCTTTCGTCAGTCGCCCTCTTGTAATTCTTTCTCTTTTTCTTCCTTTCTTGCTGGCTCTTGCTTTCTGTTGATCGTGTCTCCCCCAGCTCGCCTCCACCTTTGGGTGCTGTTCTCCCTAATCAGGTTAGAGGCAGCAAAGACTTGAGTCAACCTTGATCTCCTTTCAGTCCAATGTCAAGCCCTCTTTCTCTGTGGACTAATTTTGCTCTGGACTGCTTAGATGGGCTCCCGCAGCCTACCCTCTCTCTCTCTCTTCTCTCCTGTTGAGCAGCTTCAACTCTGTTCTTGCATGACTTGTTATTCACCCTGAAGGCTCAATCACTGGGATCCCCCCACAGACTACACTTCTCTGGGGGTTTTGTGTTTGCCCCTCCTTTGGCTCTGCTCCCTATTGGATCAATCACATCAAATGCCTTCACCCTCCTCTTCACCTTCCTCAAAGTCCAAGGTACCTAGTTTGTCAAATGCAAGTTTGATCAGCGGAGGAGAACATCCTCAGTGGCACTAAAAAACGTTATGGTTGTGCACTGAAGGAGTCCTTCGCTCTCTCTCAAAACACGAGCTGTCTGTCACGACCGCTACAAAAGATGCTTTCCTTTGTAATCTTAAGCCTCTCTCTGCCGCTTGTTCCTCCCATCCTCTGCTTCTCCCTCGCTACTTTCCCTCTATTCTGCCATCGATGTAATCCTGCCTTTCTCTGTCTCTGCACCTTATTCTGAGCTCTGCTTTTCACCTCTTTTCTGACTGCCACACATAAATAGAAGTGAGTAGAAACAATGCTCGCGTACGCACACACAGAACCGTAACCAGAGCACTCCCTGTGCCTTTGGGGCTACTTTCCTGAGCGCGGCTCCTTTTACCTGCCTGTRCTGGGTTTGGTTACACACCTTCTCTGATTGCAAGCTCTCTAATGGGAACTGAGTCTGAGAGGCAGAGGGAGGCAGACCACATCTAAATTTAGGAAGGAAGATGACAGATATATCAAGGTAGCAAGATAATCAACATGTGGGATCTGCATGAATGTGTGTGTGTGTGTGTGTGTGTGTGTGTGTGTGTGTGTGTGTGTGTG